CAGTCGACACAGTGTTTTAATTATAACAAAAATGAAGGTATTTTCCCGGAAGAATTAGAGATGGATCGAGACCCAGAAGGGGTTGAAGGGGAGGAGGATGAAATAGCTGTCGAGACAGCAACACAGGGGTTGGAAAAACAGGGGAAAGGGACGCGTGGAGGAGGGAAAGGAATAGAGCAAGAGCAAGACGATGAATAGTATGATTCTGATGACATTGAATGGTTTAACGTATAAGCATTGCTATGTATTTCGTATTTTCAACATGTTTTTCATAATAGAAGAAATGTTTCAGAAACTTTCTTATTTTTCTGAAACCCTGGACCTATATTGTTCCGATAGAAGTTGGCGAAAATTTTGCAAAAGACGCAGAAAATATAAAGGGTCTTCTCGGGTCAATATTCATCACACTCTAAAACTAATAACCCACTATTAGGCAAAGCGCCGGGATTTGAGACTGCCACATGAAAAAAAAATTTTTTTTTGCACTTTTCTATTAAATTTTGTAACGCAAATTACACAGAACATTCGGCAATATAGATGAGATACCCCAAGCGCTACTTTACAGAAAAAATCTCGTAGAATCCGCCAATAATTGTCGAAAGATCGATTGGTGCCCGGATTTCCATTCATAGGCCCCATAATTTAGTGAGCAGAGGTATGCCGCTGGCGCCATCTACAATTGGTCTCCAAAGTCCAAAACATGAAAATCAATGTATTCCCAACTCCCTCGAGCGGAAATTCAGCGAGAAACTAACATTTCTATTCAGTGCAAAAATTCGGGCTTTTTCGAAGGCCGTTTTTACAAAAAATATTCGTCTTGCGAAAAAAATAGTAGGGACCATGATTAACAAACTGCACCGCACCTGGTGGGTATATTCAGATCCTCGTTGGCTCTAAGGTATATCCCCCAAAAATAGAGAAAGGTAAAAGTGGTATTTATATCCAAACCTGGAAGGATGGATTGCACTGTCTCAAAAACATACCGATCAATTAGTCTGACATCGTTTTCCATGAAGTCATTGGAAAGGCTATGCGAAAAGTACATAAGGGATGCGGTGATTATAACAACACTGACTAGAGCGATGGAAGTCATTCTTAGTCTCACGCCCCTTGATATTTACATCAAGGAGATTGCTCTGACAACAATGACACGCCTCCGGACGGTCGGAATAGAACCTGATGTAGGATTTGGTGAGGCGAGACGTCACTTTTGGCAGGAGGCGCTGGGTATGCTTTAAGAAGTGAAAACTATCACAATTGGAGATTCCGTATGGAACTTATCCTGGAAGAAAATGGTGTGCCAGCGTATATAGAAAAATAATTAGATATTAGTATAATTACAGATACAAATGAAAAAATGGCACAAAAAACAAAGAACAGCAAAGCAAAATCATTAATTGTACAATGTATAGACGACAATAAAATAGAAAGTCTAAGAGGTAAAAAGACAGAATACACAATGTGGCAAACGTTGAAAGAAAAGTATGAAAAAAGGGACTACCTGATCAATTATACTTAGAGAAAAAACTGCTATCGATGAAGTTAAAAGAGGGAGAATTATTGGAGATATTTTTAAAAGAATTTGAAGAAGTTATTAAACAGCTAAAAGAATACGGAAATGAGATGAGCGACGAAGACTTGGTTTGCAATATTTTGCTAGGACTACCCAAATCATATGAAACTGTAGTTACAGTTATAGAAAATATTTCAGATATCACATTTGATATAGTAAAAAAGAAGCTTCTAGGGGAACATGAAAAAAGAAAATTATTAAGAGCAATAAGAATGGGACAAGACACTTACGTGTTTTCAGAAACTGATGGAACTGGATGTCATAGATGTGGCAAAATTGGCCACTTTAAACGAGAATGCTCAAAGGTATTAGAACATGGAGGTTTCTATCATAGCAGTCAACGAAGCCAATACATAAGAAGGTTCAGAAGACAAGGTAGAAGTAGGTACCAAAATAATTATCGAAGCAACTATGCTTAACAGGATGAAGGCCAGGAGACACAAGTAAGTGAAAGTGAAAATACTGCATCATGGGTGAATCAAATTTTTTGTCGGTTCTGGTTGTATAGACCACATGGTGAGCGAAAAATTTTTTTTACCTATTTGTTAATCTTAAAAAATCCAATAAAAATAGCAGTAGCCAAAAATAATAATTATTTGTTAGCTGTAGGAGTAGGAAATATAGAAGTAACAAGTAATTTGAAAACTGGAAAAATAAAATACTATTAAAAATGTTTTCTTCGTACCAGATCTTAGGAAAAATTTATTCTCATTAAAAAGGTTGGAAATGACAAACATTAAAGTTAATTTTGAAAATGGGGAACTATAATTAAAGGATTGCAGGAATAAACTGATAGGAATAGGGCATAGAAAAAAATCTTCTTGAAATATCATCTGAAATAGTCACTCCAGAATGTATGAATATTGAGAGTAAGGAAAATAATTTAAAAAAGTGGCATAGGCGCTATGCACACATAGGTTATACAGGGTTAAAGTAAATAATAAAAACGAAAATAGTCCTAGGGATTGATGAAAATGTAAAATTCCAACAAGTTGAATTTTGTGAGCCATGTATAAATGGAAAAACGAGCAGCTATCATTTTGGAAATAGGACAAAGAGTACTAGAATATTAGAAATAATACACATATCCAGCCAATCACACCTGAGACATGTGACGGATAAAAATATTTTTTGACTTTCATAGATGATTTCTCAAATTTTATAGCCATCTACTTATTGAAACGGAAAAGTGAAGTATTGAGAACATTTATGGAATATACAAAAATGGTAGAGGCAAAATTTTGTAATAAAATATCGAAGCCTAGATGTGATAATGGTGGTGAGTATTTATCAAACGAGTTTACAAAATTCTGCAAATAAAGAGGAATACTTTTAGATTGCACTGTTGCAACAGAATGGGAAGGCAAATAGGAGTTTAATAGAGCCAGAGATTTATTAGCAAATTCAGGAATGGATACGTTATTTTGGAGAGAGCCAATACTTGCAACAAATTAGGTGACCTAGATAATGTTATACCAGCTGAAATATGGACTAAGGTCAAACCTAATGTCAAAAACTTTAGGATATTTGAGCGCACAGCATATATTCATACACCTAAAGAATTAAGAATAAAGTTGGACTTTAAAAGAGAAAAATGTATAATATTAGGATATGCACCAACGGGATATAGGTTGAGGAATATAGAAAAATAAAACTTAATAATTAGTAGAGATGTTAAATTTGTTGAAAATAATTTATATTTTAAAAAAAGAGCGATAAAGGCAGGTAGTAAAGAAACTAAAAATAAAAGTGAGGTTATGAAGGAACACGAAAATGAAAGTTTTGAAAATAAGAGTGAGATTATAGAAGAACAGGAAGATAATACAGAGATTAAAACTGAAAGTCCTGAAAGTGAAAATGATAGATGAATATGAGAGGGAAATAAATGAAATATTAAAGTTTCACAAAAATTTGACGTTTTTGAGCCGCATTTATTATTGTAAATTAAATGTTTATTATACGGCAATAGTGTGTATTTATTAGTTAATTCCATGAATTTCTAATAGATGGCGGTTATTTAAAGGTAGGAACTTGAAAATTGGAATTGTAGTTACTCATTATAAGTAAATAATGACACATCTCAAGGTTTTTGGATTTTCACATTTAAAGGAGAGAGGGGACCATAGGCGAGTATAGTAAAAATTAATAAAAATTAATAAAAATTAATAAAAATTAATAAAAATTAATAAAAATTAATAAAAATTAATAAAAATTAATAAAAATTAATAAAAATTAATAAAAATTAATAAAAATTAATAAAAATTAATAAAAATTAATAAAAATTAATAAAAATTAATAAAAATTAATAAAAATTAATAAAAATTAATAAAAATTAATAAAAATTAATAAAAATTAATAAAAATTAATAAAAATTAATAAAAATTAATAAAAATTAATAAAAATTAATAAAAATTAATAAAAATTAATAAAAATTAATAAAAATTAATAAAAATTAATAAAAATTAATAAAAATTAATAAAAATTAATAAAAATTAATAAGAATTAATAAAAATCAATGAAAAAATTAATAAAAGTTAAATTAATAAAAATTAATAAACATGCATTGTTTAATGTAATAATAAAAAGTAATTTAATTGATAGAATATGAAAAATAAATTTTCCTAGCACTTTAATAGTAAACTAACAATGATTAGTGAGTGAGAATATCTTAAACCAAAAATAGAAAAGATTCAAAAATAGAACTAACAATTTTTTCACATCCATGAAAAAATTTCTTTCGACTAACGAAAACTGTTATTCACTTTTAATAATTGAGGTTTGAAAAAATTCAGCGAAACCTATTTTAATAAAGCTATTTATCAAAAAAGACTAGTAGATTTCATGTCAAAACAAAAAATTGTGTTACCTCTTATTAATGTTCGATTTAAGTTCATGCTTTTTGTTACATAGAGAGTTTGTTACTTTTTCAACAGTGATGACAAGAAAATCTAATGTGTTCAACACAACATTTTCCTGCCTAGTTAACAAATAAAGATAAAATAACAGGCCTTTAAGAAGATCTGGAAAGAAGATACAGCAGAACATGACGCACTAATGATTAATGATATTATGAGAGGTTAATGCTAACACTAAAAAAAGTTATTCTTCATAAAAAGTTCTGCATTGTCTAAAACTTGAAATACAATCATCATATATCAAATTTTTTAAGCCGTATACGAGGTTTGTCAAAAATATTAATTAAGAATCTTTATTTTTGACAAACCTCGTATATGACTAATATGACTAATATCTAATAGTTGTGTTTTACTTTTAAGACAATGCAGAACTTTTTTTGAAAAATAACTTTTTTTCCTAAAATTAATAATAAAAAAGTTTTCAATATGGTTCCAACTGGATGAGACATATTGTATATGCAAGTACCTATAACACTAACGATTAACGTGTACAAGGACATGGACAAGCTTACCTGCTGTAAATATTCTTTATCTGGAACAACTGACTGTTCCCAACGAACATGTCCATCTTCATATTGTTGGAAAACAACCTTGGTATCTTTGAGAAAGTTTTTGCCAAGAACGAACAGTTCTAAGCCTCCGCTAGCCGGGCAGGATGTTAAGGACTTTTTGCAAATCTCTGGAACACCTGGAGGCTGAGCTAAATAAAAAAGAATATGCATTATTTTTATGAAAACAATAGTCATAATAAAAAAATAGTTAAAATTGACTACTTACTACACACTATAGGTTGAGAACAAACTTGCAACGTTTCCATACTACCGTCATCCAAAGTAATAGTGGTTCTGAATATCATTCGACATCTCGTAGATTTCTTTTTACTTCGATTCCCCAATTGGTCCGGAAACCTGTGTTCTACGTCAACGTTCCTTTCTTTTAATATGCCAACACAATCGCAAGTGGCGCTCATTTCTTTCGAAGGATCTAGTTGCAATTCTATCACGCACGTGCCGTCTATTTTCTTTTCTAGACATGGCGTTGAATTTTTCCCACTAACTTTGCAAGCTTGATAAAACATATGCGGCGATACTTTGCCCACGTCAGTACCTATGAATACCTGAAAGGGAGAATTAGATATATAGAGGTATAAAAATTTAAAAACGGGAGTTATATAGTAGCTTTCGAATTCGGTGGGAAAATGTAACAAAAAAAGGTAAATATTGTGATATATATTAATTTATTTTGTAAGCCGGTTTGTTTGGGCCACGGTGTAATTCTTTATGCACATAAAAAGATACCTTGATAAGCCGGCAGAATACACGATTTAGTCCAGTCATTTAAGCTTAAATTAGGTAAGAATCTCGGAATTCGAGATACCCAGCTGTAAGTCTGTAAATACTTGTATATTGACACCCTAAAAGTTGTCTCAAAACCTACATATGTTAGGGTGTACGCAACTATTAAATTTCAAGGTCAAAGGTCACAAAAATAGTTTTTTTGCGCTTTTTTTTATAAATATCTCATTTCCTATGGGTTTTTTGCTATTTGTATTTATTATCAATATTGTAGAATACAAAATTCTCTACAAATTTTGTTTAAAAAAATTCAGACTACAGTAAGAACGTAAAAGCTATGGAGCAGCAGAGAAGAACTGCTGCACTTTCAAAAAACGTATGAAGTCTATTTCGATGAAACAATGGTTGTACCATTTACTCAAGAAAAATTCTTATAAAATCGAAATAACAAAGATATGCTCATTAATATGTTAATTGAAAAATTACAAGATGCAAATATTACTACTAAACAAGCCAGAGATGATGCGGATGTTCTTATTGTTGAAACTGCAATTGAAGAATCCAAGTCTGAAAAACTGCAGTTATAATAGAAAAGATATTGATTTACTTGTCATTTTAATTGGGCGTACACTGTCTTACGAACAAGAAATTTTCTTTAAAAAAGTTGGGAAAGGAAATGTAAAAACGGAGATATACTCGACTAAAAGTTTTGATAATTATCCTCATTCCAAAACACATATTTTATTTCTGCACGCATTAAGTGGCTGTGACACAACTTCTGCGCTTTTTAAAAAGGAAAAAAATAATTTTTAAAAGTTTTTGAGAAACTGACAAATTTGGATGAACTAGCTGCAGCATTTAAGGAAGAAAATTGTTCGGCCCAGAGATTATTAGAGAGTGGAAATCAAACCTTATTGGCAGTCTATAACGCTCCGAAATCTGTGAAAAGTCTCGATCATCTTCGTTATATGCATTACGTCAAGTCTACAAAACTTAATAAACCTGTGCAGCTTTCAAATATTCCACCAACAAGTGCAGCTGCTCATCAACATTTCAAACGTGTATATTATCAAGTTCAAACTTGGTTAGGGCATGATTTGGAACCGCAGGCATGGGATTGGGCAATGCGAAACGATTTTCTGGAGCCTATTATGACAATTTTACCACCTGCTCCAGAAGATTTGCTAAATACAATTTTCTGCAACTGCAAGAGTGGTTGTGGTTCGCGATGCGGATGCAGGAAAGCGGGCTTGCAATGCTCTTTACCTTGTGGCCAATGTAATGGGCAAGCTTGTCTCAATACTCTACTACCATAACAGAGCGACATTAACGAAGATGGAACCTTTGACCCCGAAATCATGGAAGAACTTGAAACAAATGTCGTTGAAGACGATAACGAAGACCAGTTTGAAATTTACCAGCAGCCAGAAGACGACGATGGAGAGGAAGAAGATGATTAAAATTATAAATTGTAGTTTTTGTACCTTTTATTCCATTTTTTTACTTTTAATAAAAATAAATGTATTGAATGATATTTTTTAATAAAAAGATTAATTCATAATTTATTTGTTTTTTTTTTCATCATGTAAGAAGTTATTAATATTAATTAGGTTAAAATTCAAATATAATTCCTATATTTTCATTAACAATTCTGCAATTATATCGGCAAGTAAGTGTTGTTAAATAAATTAATACTGAATAAAAAGTGGATAGGTTAGGAAAAAAATGATAAAATATAATATAATAGTTAATAAAAATTGACAAATATTTATAATCATTGATTTATCGATAGTTCATAAACTATATATGGCGCGTTTTCGACCGGAGGCACCGGTTGATGCTGTGACCGCGCGCTCTCCGCCCTCTATCTCGAAAACGGTTCACCGTATGAAAAATTTTTTTAAACAAAATTTGTAGAGAATTTTGTATTCTACAAATAGCAAAAAACCCATAGGAAATGAGATATTTACAAAAAAAAGCGCAAAAAACCGATTTTTGTGACCTTTAACCTACCATATGTAGGTTTTGAGACAACTTTTAGGGTGTCAATATAGAAGTATTTACAGACTTACAGCTGGGTATCTCGAATTCCGAGGTGAACTTACTATATAATGACTGGACTAATTGCGGTTTTGTCAGTTGGGACTTAAAAATTAACAAAGAAACATCATATTAAATTAGATGTGTATAATTTGCGTTGTAACCAACCATCATATTATGGTCTAGGATGTTACAAAGATAAACTTTTTTAGACGTCAAAAAATCAAGGTTGTAATTCGAGAGACGCTAAAATGGTGGTTCCCACCTTATCAAAACTGAGGCCTACAAGAGTAAACTCGTAACTTAAAAAAAACAAGAAATGATTTAACGAAAGACCGAAAGTCGATGGTAGTATTAAGACGTTGCATTTTTTGATTTGTGAAGCATTGGTATTATTTAGGTTAAACCATGTGATGATTTTAGCAAGCCTTGATTTTTAAAACCATTCTATATCGCCTTTTGATTAGGGTTTACAAACTTATTCCAGCAATTTATCCAATAATAATTGTACCCTTTACCTCTTAAGCCTGCTCATGTAAAATATTTGGACTTCTTACTTCGCCTATTTATCTAAAAATATTTGATACCTTTTAAATATGTTCCTTTTTACTCCCTTAGATCTATTCATGTAAAAATATTTGCGCCCATTGTCACTGAAGCCTACCTACGTATAAAAATTTAAAATGGTTTCACAAAAGCGAACATCTTTTTATTTTGATAAATTTATTAATACCAAAAAATAGTAGTGTTGGACGATTACTGATGTATTTTTATATACTGTAAAAGATCTTTACAAAAACATACCACATATTTCTTAGACCAAAATAAGTCGATTTAAGTAAAATTACCTTAGTACAAAGTTGCTTCGTTTGGGCTCCAGAGGGCCTTGAAGTTACAATTTTTAAATCGTTTTTCCCATATAAATTTAAAACGGCATATGCGATTTTGCTGAAATTTGGTATATTGGTAGAGTTTTATGTGGCAAAAAAAATGGTATTAAAATTTTGTCCGATAATAATACATAGGCGTAGAACTTGATTTTTTAAATAATTGAACCTTTAAAAATTCTACGCCAATGGAAGAAAAGCAGTATGAGTATGAAATTTAGATTGCGCAACTCATTTACTTTAAAAAAAGTACTCTTGATAAGACTCGATTACTCTCATGGTTTTGACAAAATTTGCATTTTAGTAATTTTGGAACATAAACAATAATTATTAAAATACAAACTTTGTCAAAACCATGAGAGTAAATCGAGTGTTATCAAGGGTACTTTTTGTAGTAAATGAGTACCCAATCCAAATTTCATACTCAAACCCTTTTTTGCCATTGGCGTAGAATTTTTAAAGGTGCAATTATTTAAAAAATCAAGTTCTACGCCTATGTATTATTATCGGACAAAATTTTATACGATGAAAAACATAAAAATGTACTTTTTTCATATCTTCTTCAATACCTCTAATCGAGACTTTTAACAAAAATACTCGATTCTTGCCATGTACGATTTATTGAGGAATATTAATTATTTGCCTGCAATACGTATACAAAAACATTTATTGTTTGTTTCCATAGTTTCATCTAAATAAAAATATTGTCAAGTTTTAACACCTAATCTCTTGTTAACGATTGAAAGTGTTCTATCTGACTCAATAATTAAAAAAACAAATGCGTGATTTATTAATATGGCTGTACAATATACCAATGCAGAATATACCGATATGTTACCGACATTAGGATTTTGTGAAGAAAATGCTCGACAAAGTATCAGGGTGTACTCTGAAAGGTTTCCAAATCGTCGTGTACCTAGCCACCCAACTTTTACTGCTGTTAAGGGACGTCTTCGGGAGACCGGTTCCTCTGCTCCCAACACTGTTGATAATGGAAGAGAACGTTTTGTAAGGATTCCTGAAGTTGAAGAAGACGTTTTAGAACGTGTTGAAGAAGATCCAGAATTAAGCACCAGACGAATTGGAAGGGAACTAGGAGTAAGTAAAGATGTCGTTCATAAAGTGCTTAGAGAACAATTGCTATATCCATACCATAAGAAGCCAGTACAAGAATTATTAGTCCATGATCCTCAAATTCGTTTGGGTTTTTGTCGATTTGTTAATATGCAAAGAGAAAGAGATCCAAACTTTGTCAAGAAGGTTCTCTTTACCGATGAAGCGGGTTTTACAGGAAGAGGTATAACTAATACCCGTAATGAACATGTTTATGCCGTTGAAAATCCGCATGCAATAAAGGTAAAGCATTTTCAGCACGAATTCAAAATTAATGTGTGGGCTGGAATAATTGGTAATTTCATTGTTGGTCCTGTCATACTTCCACGAAGATTAACTGAAGAAAATTATTTGGATTTTCTACAAAATATGTTGCCATAATTGTTAGAAGATTTACCTCTCCAACTTCGGAGAGATATGTGGTTTATGCAAGATGGAGCTCCACCACATTTTTCTTTAAACGTTAGAAACCACTTGAATGAACAATATCCACACAAATGGATAGACAGAGGTAATGACGCACTTGTAAACTGGCCACCACGTTCCCCAGACTTAACACCGATGGATTACTTTTTATGGGGACTTCTGAAATCCACAGTTTACAGGGAACCTGTAGAAAATGAGGAACAACACTGGCAACGTATTCAAGATGCAATAAACAATCTTAGAGGTGATGAAGAAGTTATGTAAAGGATACATTTTAATTTTCTTCGACGTATAAATCTTTGTATGCGTGAAAATGGTGAACATTTTAAACAATTTTTGTAAAATCTCTATTTTGATTATGTTGTACCTAAATAAATATTTTTGTGAAACCTATACACTCTAAATTATTAAAACAGAAATTTAGCGAAAAACATAAGAGTAATCGAGTCTTATTAAGAGTACCTTTTTTAAAGTAAATGAGTTGCGCAATCTAAATTTCATACTCAAACTCCTTTTCTTCCATTGGCGTAGAATTTTTAAAGGTGCAATTATTTAAAAAATCAAGTTCTACGCCTATGTATTATTATCGGACAAAATTTTAATACCATTTTTTTTGCCACATAAAACTCTACCAATATACCAAATTTCAGCAAAATCGCATATGCCGTTTTAAATTTATATGGGAAAAACGATTTAAAAATTGTAACTTCAAGGCCCTCTGGAGCCCAAACGAAGCAACTTTGTACTAAGGTAATTTTACTTAAATCAACTTATTTTGGTCTAAGGAATATGTGGTATGTTTTTGTAAGGACCTTTTACAGACACCCTGTATTTTTTTAAAATTATCGGTAATTAAATATTTTTGAGTTGTTTTTGTCTTGGTTTTGGGAAAATTTACAAAAAAAGCTAATCGATCTTGTAAATCACTAATTTTTATGCAATACATCTGATTAGCCGGACCAGCTTCCATTATGCCTATTATTAAAGACTTTAAGAAATAAATACCTAATTCTCGTATATGAAGAAAAACCTTAATAAATAGATTTATATCTGATGCTTACTAAAAAAGTTGATCCATGGTCTTGTATTTTCATGAAATACATCTCATTAGTCCGACAAGCACTCGTTTTTATCCGTTATCCTTAAAGGATAACGGTCAAAATTTTACCGTTTTCAATTATTTAAAAAATAAAACATAATTTACAAATTTTATTTTTTTGTTGTTAAAAGTAATGTCAAATGTGAAATATTCATTGCCTTTTTTCATTTTTCGACTTTTAATTTTTTCTATTGTTTATTTCTTTGTTTTTTCGATTGATTTTTTATTTTTCTATTTTTCGATATTTCGATTTTTGATCATTCGATTTTTCTACTTGAATTTTTTGATTCTCGATTTTTGATTTTTTCAATTTTTCGATTTTCGCTTTTTCGTTTTTTCGATTTTACGAATTTTTCATTTTCATTTTTTCGATTTTTCAATTTTTGGTTTTTTCGTTTTTTTGATTTTTTGATTTTTCGATTTTTAATTTTTTCGTTTTTTCGATTTTTTCGATTTTTTCGATTTTTTCGATTTTTTCGATTTTATCGATTTTTTCGATTTTTTCGATTTTTTCGATTTTTTCGATTTTTTTCGGTTTTTTTCGTTTTCGATTTTTTTCGATTTTTGGTTTTTCCGTTTTTTTTTATTTTTCGATTTTTCCTTTTTTTCGATTATTCGATTTTTCGATTTTTTTTCGGTTTTTTAGTTTTCGATTTTTTTCGATTTTTTTATTTTTTCGATTTTTTAATTTTTCGTTTTTTCGTATTTTCGTTTTTTTGATTTTTCGATTTTTTCTTTTTTGATTATTTGATTTTTTGACTTTTTATATTTTTCATGTTTTCGAGTTTTGACTTTCCTAATTGAATTTTTCGATTTTTGACTTTTCTAATTGAATTTTTGGATTTTCGATTTTTGATCTTTCAATTTTTCGATTTTTCATATTTTCGTTTTTTCGATTTTTCTTTTTTTTCTTTTTTGATTATTTGATTTTTTGACTTTTTATATTTTTCATGTTTTCGAGTTTTGACTTTCCTAATTGAATTTTTCGATTTTTGACTTTTCTAATTGAATTTTTGGATTTTCGATTTTTGATCTTTCAATTTTTCGATTTTTCATATTTTCGTTTTTTCGATTTTTCTTTTTCGACTTTCGATTTTTTGATTTATTAATTTTTCGATTTTCGATTTTCGATTTTTGATTATTCGATTTTTCTATTTTTATTTTTCGACTTTTTAGATTTTTCATGTTTTCGATTTTTGATTTTTCGATTTTTCAATTGAATTTTTGGATTTTCGATTTTTGATCTTTCAATTTTTTGATTTTTTATTTTTTCGATTTTTTTCTCGTCTATTCGATTTTTGATTTTTTGATTTTTCATTTGTTAGATTTTTCTATTTTTCATTTTTTCGTTTATTGATTTTTCGATTTTCGGTTTTCGATTTTCGATTTTCGATTTTCGATTTTCGATTTTCGATTTTCGATTTTCGATTTTCGATTTTCGATTTTCGATTTTCGATGTTTTGATATTTCGATTATTTCGATTTTTTAGATTTTTCCGATTTCGATTTTTCGATTTTTCCTTTTTTTTTGATTATTTGATTTTTCATTTGTCAACTTTTTAGATTTTTCATGTATTGATTTTTTAATTTTTCGATTTTTCCGTTTCTGATTATTCGATTTTTGATTATTCGATTTTTGATTATTCGATTTTTAATTTTTCGACTTTTTAGATTTTTCATGTTTTCGATTTTTGATTTTTCGATTTTTGATCTTTCAATTTTTCGATTTTTAATTTTTCCGTTTTTTCGATTTTTCTTTTTCGTCTATTCGATTTTTGATTTTTTGATTTTTCATTTTTTCGATTTTTTCGATTTTTCTATTTTTCATTTTTTTGTTTTTTTCGATTTTTTTATTTTTCGATTTATCTATTTGAATTTTTCGATTTTTCTATTTGAATTTTTCGATTTTTGATTTTTCGATCTTTCGATTTTTCGATTTTTTGGTTTTTCGATTTTTCAATTTTTGATTTTCCGATTTTCATTATTGAGTCTTAGAAAATATTGTCCATATCCACTCTTGTTGCACAAACTACTAATTTTCTACACCCTCATGGATATTAGCTTATCTATGCACAGACTACAAAACGATTTTCCGTTTTCGATTATTCGATTTTTCGGTTTTTGATTATTCGATTTTTCTATATGAATATTCGATTTTTCATTTTTCGACTTTTTAGATTTTTCATGTTTTTGATTTTTGATTTTTCTATTTTTCTAATTGAATTTTTGGATTTTCGATTTTTGATCTTCTATTTTTTCGATTTTTTTTCTCGACTATTCGATTTTTCATTTTTTTGTTTTGATTTTTTATTTTTCTATTTGAATTTTTCGATTTTTGATTTATCGATTTTTTTCCTTTTTTGATTTTTCATTTTTCAAGTTTTTAAATTTTTCATGTTTTCGATTTTTCAATTTTTTCGATTTTTTAATTTTTCGATTTTTTCGTTTTCGAGTATTCGATTTTTCGGTTTTTGATTATTCGATTTTTCTATTTGAATATTCGATTTTGAAATCCACCAATCACAGTTCATATTTTGGACACCCAACTACTATTATTTTTATAATTTTAAAAATGATGTATGGTTGCAACTATGAAAGTCGCAATCTCCCTTAGAAATCTCACCTTTACAAACAACAGCTGTTGTTTGACAGATCGTTGGAGTGTCTAATATTGGAATGTTTGCAATGTATGGAATGTTAGACGTTAGGAATGATTGGAACGCGTAAAATAATTCACATAAGAAATACATAGATGGATTTTAAGAATATTGATATTAAAGTAGTTAGGATGAACCAAAAATTCTAAAAATCAATAGGGTTTTAAGTTAGAAGCAATTATTCAATAAAATCAAAACTACAAGTCAATCAGAACTATCGTTCTAGAGTTATCGTGCCGGCATACATACACACAGACGACTAGACGATTTTTTTGCATTTTCGGACTCTGAATGATCGGAAACCTGAAATAAAGTTTAAAAAAAATGGGGTAATAATTTTTTTCGTCTGCACTAATGCAATACTGTGGCCCTATAGGAAGAGCCTCAGTAAAATTGAAGAACCCATAACTTGAGTGTTACTAGACGTAATTGAAAAATTAGTACATACATATTAACTCAAAGTCGTAAATTTGATTAAAAATAAAGCAGGAAAACTTGCTAAATTATTGATAATAAAACATGGGATTTATTTAGGATGTATGTGCCCACAAAGTGCACAAAAAAATAAGAAGAAGCTGACTACCATAGTCTTAATATCAATTTAGGACTCACTTTTATGGTATTTGGTATTTGTCATGTTTTTAAGATGTCGGAAAATGGAAAAACAAGCAAAAGCCTGTCACTGCCCATCTCATTTTGAATTATGAAAAAAGACAAACAAAAATAAGTACCTAATTCGCATCTTATTTCAGTAATTAATTGAATATCGGTGTGTAGCTTTTGAGAATTAATAAACTCTGTGAGGTTGTTCTCCAAAAAGTTGTTACTGTTGATTATTAGTACCTTCCTGTCAAAGATCTCAAGTTTTCCTTTTGTGTTTTTTGTCATCCATATTTAACTTTCGTAACATGTAATTTCGACATTAAACTCCAATCATTTACACCCTAAATACACAAGAACTGACTGCTCCCTTCTCATTCTTTTTTCTCACACACTTTACTCCAATTTCAAACGTTCAACAATAAAGATGCCTCGGAGTCGACATTAATACATCTCTACACAACCACTTCGACCAGTAAAGCTGTTCCGTCGTTACAAACACCGAACTGTCAAACCTATAACAGGTAACATATTTCGGGGTGGATATGTTCACCTTTAAACTTGAAACACTTTATGTTATCGTGTTGCAGAGGACGTGATGTTATATCGAACAAATAAGGAAAGTTGTAATCTGTAGAAAATTAAATTATCTCTTATTATGGTGAATTAAACTAATAAAAGTAATCTAACTTATTTATACTAAAAAAAATTGCAATTTCGTGTATTTTTCTATTATTTGTACATCTTTAAGTAAACTAGATTTTTTTATTTAATGTAAGCTCTTATAAAATAGATAAAAAATACATACAAGAGAACGATTGCTGTAGAGTTAGAGAAAATATTTAGTTAATGGAACTCACTTGTAAGGTTGATGGTTTGTAATAACCAATTAATTGAACAATAGGGAATCCATTTCCATCTCTATCTTTTACTGCTCCCCTACTGCCTTCAGTCTGATAACGTGCTCTGTGTTGCTGTTCCGGTTGCTTAACTATTTGTAGGGAAACGTCAACTAAAAATAAATTAAACATTAAACAACCTGTTTTTATATGTCTTATTATACTGGTCACACAGTAGTCTGTGAAGAGTATGCAAAAGATAATTTTATACAGTGTTAGTTAATGTAGGATTTAAATGAAAGATTATCCCGGCGGGGTCTTATGGAAATTCCTCATGTTGCCAGTAAATAATTTAGTTTTTTAAAGTTATACACATGTGCAAAAAATCTCTTTATCTGAATGAAACATGGATTTTTCAAAATAAACCGCTCTTGGCAAAATAACGATAAAAGAAGCGTAAAAACAAGAGTTTATGGGAAAAGATTCATTGTTTTTCATGCTTGTAACGAAAATGGTTTTATTGATGTGGCAGAACTGAGCCCCAATTGAAAAACTTAATTAAAAATCAAAATATCCTTATTATATAATCTAAATTGAAGTTTGTGGCATTTAGTAAACATGTAACCCGAAGTAAAACTGTCACAATGCAGAATTCAGTTTGATTCTAAACACTTCTTCGCAAATTTCTTTTTTATTAGAAATACTATCACATACTATAAGAAATAAAGAAATAACGAAAAAATTGAACTGATAATTGATACAGATTTATCTATAAACAGGAATACCACGAACAAAGTTGCCATCTTATAAAATGATTAAAAAAATTGGGTAAAATTACAAGAAAAAATCAATACATTAAATTTGTTTTATAAAAATCCTTAAACAAAGAACATGATTACATATTGGTAGACACAAATATCGTTACTTAAAAAAAAAGGTCTTTTTACTGCTAGAAGGTGAAAAAATCCACTGACGTAGCGAAATTCCGCTACTGTTGGCAACATTGCAAAAAGTACTGCTTCAAAATACTTTTAAGAATATTCTTTAGAGGGCGTATCGCTTAGCTTGAATCGCTGATTGTTTGTAGACACAGTAGTAAATAAGCAAGACCAATTCAACTCCATTCTTTATGTTAATTCATGTGTAAAATCGCTAATCTTTTCTAAGATGGCGGCCATCATTTTCTTGACCGAGGGTTTCCAGCAATTCAGATAATCGCAGATAGATGGCGCAACATGATATATTGGGAGGAGCAGACTTAACTATGGTTCAAGAAGAGTTAAGATGGTGATAATGTACACCTCACGTATACACACAGCTAGATGTCGCCACCGGGTAGACTACGGGGATATTGTTAATAACTATTACTCTAGAGTCTAAATGATGTTTAAAATTCTCACACATTTTTTAGATAAAACATGGGGTATCTTTCTCTTTATCTTTATCGGTTGTAAGCAGGTAGGGTTAGGTTTGACCCAGAACACTGCAGCCTTTTGGGTCTATTGTATTCCCCTGCTTTCCCCGTATTCAGGTACTATCTTTGGAATAGGCCTGTGTCTTTGGTTAGTTTTAATAGATTCCCTACCAAGTGTTCCTGGGGCGTTCTTTCCGGTTCTAGGCCGAAAAGTATAAAACGTTGCCTAGTAAGAGCTTCGCATTCGAAGATCACATAGTATGAGGTTTCTTCCTCTTCCATGCAGAGTCTACACGTAGTGGGATCATTGTGTAATCCCATCACATGAAGGTGTTTCACCAAGCAGTGCCCCGTTAGTAATCCCACAATGGTGGATATCTGAAGCTTTGCGAATTGTAGTGACTCAGTAGCCATACGTGGGTTTGGTCCCCTTAGCATGAGCTTACTGGTTCTGTGCCCTCTTATCTGCTGCCAGTAAATTTGGTGTTTTGAGGTTATCCACCTGTTTATTTCCTGTCGAGCAGAGGTTTTCCTTATCCCAAATACAGGTTCGGGTCCTGTGAATGGTAGATCTGATCCCTCTTTAGCGAGTTCATCAGCCTTTTCATTTCCTTGGATACCTTTGTGCCCTGGTACCCACGCTAGTTTTACCTTGTTGTGGGTTGCCAGATCATTTAGTATTCCAAGGCAGTTTCAGACAAGCTTTGACTTGATTCTGTTTGAATCAAGAGCCTTTAAGGCTGCTTAGTTATCTGAGAGAATTAGGATGGTTTGTTTTTTGTAGAAAAGTATTTAAACAAAATTCTGAAGGTGTTAAATGTAGATGTGATAGAGATGGCGAAGGAATAAGGTGGAGGGAAGAAGCTAACGAGAAACGAAGACAATTTTATAAAATAGAACGGGGAATGGAAATTAGGAATAATTTCGAAGAAAAACAAATTTTAAAAGGAACTAATTACAAGTTTACTAAAAATGGGCCTAAATAAAAAAGCTGAGCTTCAAAGAGAGACAATTTTGAAACTCATTGAGTTACTGTAAATACTTAATACTGTTACTTTAAAAATATAATTCTGAAATAAAATATATTTTATTTTCATTGTCCAATGTTGACTTTACCCTATTACAAATAACTTTCCCCCATTTAAATTATTAGCAATATTTGTCCAATCTTTACTTAAATGTCCACACCAGCACTCTACTGTCCAGAGTGAACTACACGTTTTCCATTTAAAAAGCATTGGTGTCCAAGATCCTATGTAGTATACCCCACGTTTTATCTAAAAAATGTGTGAGAATTTTAAACATCATTTAGATTCTAGAGTAATAGTTATTAACAATACCCCCGGTGGCGACATCTAGCTCTGTGTATACGTGAGATGTACATTATCACCATCTTAACCCTTCTTGAACCCTAGTTAAATCTGCTCCTCCCAATATATCATGTTGCGCCATCTATCTGCGATTATCTGAATTGGTAGAAACCTTCGGCCAAGAAAATGATGGAGTTGAATTGGTTTATTAAAAAAAAAAAGATTTTTATTAATATCTCAAAAACTTAACAGCTTTTAAACCTGATTAAAATTATTAAGTTCAATGACACTCTTTTATTAAAAAAAAGCAATTTAAAACACACGTTTATAATGAAATTTTAGTCATAACATAACGTTTAGGAACCCCATATACTTAAATGCAGAAAGAACAGTTTTTAGTGTTTATAATTTAATAATTTATAAGATTCGTGTTTATTTATTTGTTAAATGACCAATTAATACTTACTGTAACGTGAAGAATTAATCAATTGCGTGGTGAGAGGTACCGGTCCCGAGGAAGGCTGTCTACTTGAAAGCGGAACACACCTGGGTACTGCCCTACCAACAGAACTGTTGGGATTCGTTGACATACTGAGGGAAGGAGCAGTGCTCGTAGGTGCTGTCCGTATTAATCTGGAAACAAAATTAGACATATTTATATATTACTCAATATCTTTTAATTTTTTTAAGGAGTTTAAAAAATTAAAATTTTTCAAATATCATATCCCAGAATATGTGGATAATCTTCCGGATTCAGATAGAACACATATTTATTAAAAAATAAGTGTAAATAAAACTGAAAAAGTATGTGTGTCAATTCAACAATTTTATTGTTACCGAAAAATGTCTCAGCTAAAATAATTACTATAATTTTTGAGGTTAAGTTTGTTTATTTCCAAATTATTTTGTTTTTTTGTTCCAGTATCTACATAATAGTCATGTTTTTATACCCAACTATACATTAGCAATTTTTTTTTGTTTCCAACAAAAGACAAACGAAGTTTTAAAAAAGTTTGACAATTTATTATATATTTTATAAGGATAATTTTTTAAACGTAGTACAATTTTATATGAATAATTGTTTTATTTTGTAGGTTGTCCCTGATGAATTTAAAGTGATAGGAAAGAGGTACTGTTAAACAGTGTCAGACTGATGTAGCGCTGAGAATTTTATAAATTTACATTACAGTTTTTTTAGACGATATAAAATATAATTATTGCACTGGCCTAAATTAATTCAAGAAACTTAATAAGTGTGTCTGTGTTAGGTTTGTATCTATATTATTAAGACTAAATTAAATATTTACCGATATCTACCTGGGAGATAAACTGAACTATGTAGACATGGTGCAGTTTTATGAAGGTTATATTTTTAAAATCGGCTCATTAAGACCTTTTCATGTATAGTGATGTCACAATAAAACTTGAATTAAAAAAAATAATACTAAGTTCAATGTTCAATAAACTTATAAGTTAAACGTTAAACAGCACCTTTTAACTCTCACATTAGTCGGACTATTTATAGAGGCATGTTGAAGTATATGACAGTATGTCATAGAAAATTTGTTAAGTGCCAGAACATAGAAATATGAAATATGTTCATGTATATTAAAAAAAAAGTTTTCATAGATTGTTAGTAAACAATATACCTATTGTGACAATAATTGAGACTAACTGCATTTCTTGTCGAAATATAATTATTATATGTAAATATGGAACACAAAAAGTGTTCAACCAACATTCAGTCTACTTTACTAAAAAGTTGACTAGAATGACATAGCGCAGTTTATTTCCGAAGTACTGATATACCTATTAAATAATTTTTAAAACTTTGACTTTATCATTCTTTAAATGTACCTATTTTTTAGGCTATTATGTTATTGTTTTAGCCTTAATTATATTATTCTACTCTTCACACGATTTATACGCATCTCGTGCGTCACAACTCGGGCGGAATCCTTAATTTTTCGCATTTCGGGCGGAAGGCTACAGGTAGATTAAATACCCTTCGCAACTCGGGCGTTCAAGGATCGGTACCTGAGAAGGTGCTTTCGGCTTAAACTTAAAATTATATACGGAGTGCCGTACAGGAGGAGCTTGCCAGTTTTTAAATATTATGTAACTTTCATAAAACAAGATTTTTTATTTATCTTTCTCTGCGAACATAATCTTTACATTACATTGTTATGACATTTGAAATTGTAGTTTTTACTCAAAAAAGTGTAATTTATTTATTATATAATTAGATTGATAAATAATAGTGTACCTATCTCGGCTAGCTATTCAATTTTTATTTTAATACATTTTTTATGTAGGGTGTCTGTGTAAGTTGGCTACATATGGAAAAATTTTTTTTATTAGTTTTATCAAAAAAAAATTATTTAGCATAAAGAGTTGTGGATGGTCTAAAACCTAAAATACATCACATTTTTGAGCCGTATACTAGGACAGTATATGGAAAACTTTTTTTTATTAATAATTTTATGAAAAAAATGTCCTCATAAAAAATTGTGCGTGATCTCAGACCTTAAAATACAACCATCTTATATCAAATTGTATAAGTCGTATACGAGGTTTGTCAAAAATGAATGTACTTTACTCTTGGCCAAAAATATTTTTTTTGGCAAATCGTATACGACTCATAAAAATTGATATCTAATGGGTGCATATAAGGTTTTAGACCATGCTAAATTTTTTGGTAAAACTAATAATAAAAAAGTTTTCCATATGTAGCCAACTTACGTAATCTAATGTTTTTAATATATAATTTTATTTTAATTATATAATTTAAACTGTAATTCATTCAAATTGATTTTCCCTCTTTTTTTCTGTTTTTTCCTATTTTTATTTATTTCAAAGCATTTAATACAATAAACTTGAGTTTAATAGCTTTTGTTTTATTAGGCATAAATAAAAAGAATGAAATTTAATTATTAAAATTTTATTTATTTGCATAAAGTCACATCAAAAATTAATCGAACCTTACAACATGTCTTAAAATTGTCTACATTTTGGCAGTCGTTGTATTCCCAGTTTCTTGTGTCTTTGTCTGTACAATGTATCTTTAATAGACATAAATGCCGGTATTTCGGTAACAAAATCTAGCCCAGCATCCTGTACGTTCTCAGCTCTTGTCTAAAAATTTGTGGCACTGGAGTCATTTCTTCACGGGCACGTTTCTTTGCTCTGAATAGACTTGCTTCCACTTCATTTTTGGCTACACTAGGGACACAGGAATGCGGTCTCTCCGATAAAACATTTAAACTTTTACTTGTAGTTAAGGAACCTGGACACGGTCGCTTTATGCAGATCCATCGGTTAGTAGAGTTTTTATTTCGACACTTTAGTGAATACTTGTAACCACAATATAAAATGGAATTCTGGCTCCGTTGAGTTTCCACCACTTGAACTTCCATCGTTTTTCAAAATAAAATTTAGTAGCTAATCACAATCACTTCAAAAATCTCAATGAAAACAAATAATAATTGTTTCATTATTTATAGTAGGTAAAAGTAAGATAACAAGACGTCTTCTTGGTATTCAAAAAGCTTACGGTGCTGTTAATAAGACCTGTCAAATCCTTTTAATTTGATGTATTAAGACAAAGGTTTAAAGGGTTTCAATTAGGGTATTTATCCTTTTTATTGCTTAAAGTTAGAAACAATCGATTTTATAACACAAGATTATTTTTAAAAATCGGTCATTAAAATATTATACTTTATATAATTTGGATCTTAATTGGTACTTAAAAAAAATTTGGAGTGGTAATTATTTCAATTAATATCCGTTTTAGGTTAAAGGGGTTCAATCAGGTTATTTATCCCTTTTTACTTTCCCGTATGTATTCAGATAAGGAAAGTACCTATAGGAATCATGATTTTTTTCGGCCTCGAGTTTTCGACTGATTTTTACGTTTTGGTGGACCTCTGAATCCAATTTAACTATTTTCGTGATGATGTCTGTGTGTCTGTATTCATGATAACTTTAAAACGGATAAAAAGAAAAACACTATATTTTAAACGTTGTTATATCGGGACATTTTAACGTTTAGTTTATTTTTTAAACTAAATATATACGTTATTTGAATATTAATTATTTAACTATATTTTAATATTATATTTAAACGTTGTTATGTAACTAAAAGTTAATCATTTTGTTAAATATATATAACATGTAAAATATTATTGTATTTCAACCTTTTTAACGTTTGGTTAATAATGTAAACCAAATGTCTACGTTATTTTAATATTAATTATTCTAGTTTATTTTAATATTCTTTTTAAATGTTATTATGTAATTGTGGTTCAACCGAAAGTTGGATATTAAGATACATACACGTTTAATATTAACGTTTCTTTAAATTACATAAAACTCGTAATAAAAACGTTATTGTATCGAAACACTTTGACGTTTTGTTTATATTTTACCTAAAAATATTAATTATTCTACTTTATTGCAATCACATTTTGAAACATTTTCATTGATTATACTTGAAATATTAAATTGGTTTATGTTTGTTATATTGTAAATGGCCAAGATTCGAAAATTTTCTCATTTGTAAAAAGAGAAAGAAGATGGTTTATGTTGTAGTCATTTTATTTTAAGTACTATAATTTTATATTAGAGAAAACCATATATTCTAAATAATTGGAAGTTTGCGTCTGTTGTTTGATACATTTCTGAAATATCAGTATGTTATATTTCTGATAGGTTTCAAATTATTATTTATAAAATATATGAAATATTACATTTACAGGATATTTTTACAATTTAGAAATGTTTCTGAGGCGTTTCGTAATATTTATATATTATTTTATCATATTCATGATTTCCTTAAAATGGTCCGTATTCGAGGATTTTGACAAAAAGTGCAAAATTCGAATTTTAAAGAAAATTCTTCAAATAAAAGTTGCTTACAATGTAATTCTCTATAATTTTTGTTCCATACATTTCTCTAAAATAGACCGAATTCGGGAAATTTGAGGTAAAGTGCAAAATTCGATTTTTTCTCATTTTCACTTATAATACCCCTAGTGACCAAATTATTGTCGGAAATATTTTAGAAATCGCCAATAATTTGAAAATGATCCCAATATCATGCTCTATATTTTTTATTCTACACATGATTTCTCTAAAATAAACCGTAATGGAAAAATCTTCAATTTTTTTACATCAACTATCTTTTCAATGCTCGCTATCTGTTAAAATCAAAGTTTGTTCTGCGATGTCATTTATTTCTCTTAAATTTTCGATAATGCATTACTACCTGAATCAAATTGTAATCAGAATCAGGGTACATAAACTATGGTCAAATTTCATATCCCGTCGACGCCCGAGTTGCGAACTCACAGGTGCACAATTTTGGAGGGCGCCCGAGATGCGACGAATTCAGGTAGTTTTATATTACGCCCGAGTTGCGAACGCACGAGTTGAGAAAGTACCCTTCACACAGTAGTCTGAGAAGAGTGTTATAGGTTTACTTTGTCTGATGTCCTGTTTTTTGTCTGAACGATAAGTCAAAAATAAAAATGATATCAACTTGAAAATTTTAAGCAAAAAACAAGCTCTATAAGGGGACAAGTCCTATTGATTAAAAAAAAAACTGATTTAAAATAGGGAGATGAAAATATTTA